CGAATCAAAATCCTGGCTACGGGCCTGTACCCAGGAATACATCTATTCATTAACTTTTGTGTGTGTGTGTCAGGAGCGGCTTGAGAAACTGCAAGTCACTTTTGGTGTGAGAGAATTGGTGTTGCCCAGGGGATGCCTGGATGTTTTTGATGTTTTGGCATCCTTATGGGAGGCTTCTCTCATGTCTGAGCATGGGGAACTGGAGCTGACAGAGGGAGCTCACCCGCGCTCTCCCCAAATTCGAACCTCTGACCTGTCAGTCTTCAGTCCTGCTGACACAAGGATTTAACCCATTGTGCCACCGGGGGCTCTTTATTCATTAATTGAAGGATATTGAGTTAAATTTCAAAAATGAAATACTGTATTCTAAATTCCCAAATAGAGAGGGTCCAAGAGAAGCCACGAGATTTACTTAACATTCAGCAGGTCTGCTCCAGATGTGATTAACAATGGGATTTGGGCTGAAATGTGGCTAAGAACAGTTTCATTTTAAGTATAAAGATTCAATTGCATGAAAATCTGAATAGGAAGCAATCCCGTCACTGGAATATCCTTAGGGAAATATATAAAAGGAAAAATTGAAATGCTTTCAAATGACTGGAGCACGGCCAAGGCAATGGACAGAGATGGCCCAACATATTTTAGTGCCACGGGCACTTTCATCCATCTGCTTCACTCATATCACAATGAGAATAAATCCAACAATGAACCATTTGCTCTCCTCTCATGCAGCCCAAATTTTTTCACTTGAAGCCCAGGCTTAATAATTTAAGGTCTGCTTTAACTGTGATATTTTATAATTTTCACACGGGTTTCTTTACTTAAATTGAATTTTCTGTTTGAGAGCAGGAAATGAGAAGCAAAATCACTTTTGATTTAGATCACCCAGGGAAACCTCTGAAATAAAGAGGTGGCTTGGAAAAAAATTATATTTTCTTAATTCAACTTGTATCTGAAATTCAATGTGCACAGATTTCACTGTGCTGAAACCTGCTTATTTCCCCAGAGGGAACAGAGGCCTCAGATGTACCAAGCCTGGCAAAGTAGCATAACAGGAGGCCTAGATATTCACAAGGGCACTGGCAACGCGTTCTTGTTAGTCTTTGAACTGCTGTTTAATTGGTACCAGCGCTCTGTCAATTTCTCCAGGGCATGTCGCAGAAGTCCACTTGTGGAGCATTTCTAACAGGAAGAAAAGGCCTGTAATCCAAACTAAATTCCCAAATTACATTCATTATCTCGTCTGTATGCTCAGAAATGTTTTTAAACAGTAGGGAAGGACTGCAAATATGGCTTTCCAAGGTTATTTTTTGGCATTCTGGATGCAGAGTGCAATTCCTGTGGCTTTGTGTACTGATACCGGTATGTCCCAAGCAGAGGGAAATACAGTCTGCAGAAGCAATTGCTTTGCAGACAACAGTGAAATAGTCTGCGATATTGCAATTCTTTTTCAACTTTTGGCCCAGGAGATGATCCTTTTATCTACTAATATTTAATTTCAAAGGCTTTCAAAATATGAGGTTCTACAGAACCATTTCAAAAATATGAAAGTAGACTTGAACCCAGAAAGTCCTCAGGAATCTCCAAAAGCACCCAAAGATATTGCTAATGCTGATTAAGTCCTTTAAGAATCTATGATGGCCAGCTGTCAGGATTTTATCTCAAGTCCACAAGTGGTTTATATTTAACCCCAAGCTTGGAAATAGCCTGGAACAATAAAAGGAATGTAAAAACGAAGTGTACTTCACTAGCATTCACTGCCAGAAAAGCAAATGTTATCACTGTCTCTAGAAAGCCATGTTTCAGACCTCTACCTCTTCTTCTGTTACTGGAACACTGGAAGAGAATAACTAATCCATAGTTATTTGCATAATGTGCATAATTTGCATAATGCAGAATGTGAATATTTAATACAGAGTTGTTCCTATAGTGTGGGAACAGATTGTGTTTAGGAGAGGTGTGCAATTCGGACAATTGGGATGCCATTCCGGGAGTCCACTGTCAGCTGATCCCTCATTCTGTTTATCAAAAGTTACTTGAATCGGGAGGGGTGTTGCCGTTTTCATTTGGCAAAGATTGGCTGCAATGGGAAACTTTAAAGGCTCCATTCTCAGCCATTTTACGACCTATCTGCATGAAACCTATCACAGATTTAGACTACATTTACAACTGCAGGTGTGCTGTCACGCGCTGGGCTTATAGCAATTGGCTTTTGAACAGGATGTGCTCTTTGTGCCCAGTGGGAAGCCGGGATGCCTCGAGTGAGAGGCCCTAAGGATTTTCCTATACAGAGTCTTTAAAAGCTTGAAAAGTTTAACGAAGTCCTTTATTATTAATTAGGTCTTCAACAAAACACCCATCATGCTCCGAAAAGGAACTCTGAGACCTTTCAATATTCTCCCCATGCAAGTGCTGCTAGGAAAGCAAGTTCGAAGCAGGAGCCTTTCTGGAGGAGGAGCCTAGGAAACTTTCCAAAAACAAATGGATGGATGCTGGTGCCGGTGCAGAGAAAAAGACGCTGCAATAATCCCATTTTCTCCAGAAGTCCCAGGGCAGTAGGTATATTGCAGAATTAACTCAATCCTCTCCAGGAGCTGATAAAATCCAGCTTCCTTAATCCATTTTGCTGGGTTTTGTGGTTCCCTCCTCTCTGTTCTGAATATTACAAATTATTTTTGTTCAAACTGATTCGGGCCCAAGCCTAGTGTTTAGATGGCTACTTTTCCAAACTCTTTTGCAAGTGAAGAACTCAGAGGCATAACTTGGAGCTTGGGAAGGCAGATATTGTAGCACCAATGATAGAAAGCTGTTTGTGGTATAAGTCTTCCTCATCAGGTGCATGGAGTGAAGTAGTTATAGACAGACATTTATATCAGGAAGACATACAATTATGCAAAGAAAACCCTGTGATTGTGATGTCATCTGAAACTGTGGTAAATCTTACCTATAATTAGTATAATATCAGTATAAACAAACCAAAACCCACAGGGTGATGTCACTTTTTTGGAAGAAAAAAAACGTAGTTGGGATTATCCACATTCCAGATTCATAGCACTGAACTGAAGCATAACACATTTAGAGGGCATTAAGCTGAGAAAGTCAGCATCTGTTAAATATACACTGATTCAATGGATCTACTCTGATTGAATTTAGGCCTCAATCCCCATCTGATACAACTTTGGAACATAGGAAAAAGGTGGAGATGCAAAAACAGTGGTTCTCAACCTTCCTTAACAGTGGTTCTCAACCCCTTAATAGAGTTCCTCATGTTGTGGTGACCCACAGCATAAAATTATTTTCATTGCTACTTTTTAACTGTAATTTTGCTACTGTTATGAATTGTAATGTAAATATCTGATATGCAGGATAATTTTCATTTACTGGACCACACTTGGCACAAATACCCGATACATCCAAATTGGAATATTGGTGGGGTTGTGGGGGGGGGGGGATTGATTTTGTCATTTGGGAATTATAGTTGCTTGGATTTATAGTTCACCTACAATCAAAGAGCATTCTGAACCCAACCAAGGATAGAATTGGGCCAAACTTCCCACACAGAACCCCCATGACCAACAAAAATACTGTGTTTTCTATGGTCTTTGGTGACCCCTCTGACCCTAGCCCCCCCCCCCCCCCGGGGTCCTGACTCCCAGGTTGAGAAACACTGTGCTAAAAGGACAGGTCTTAACTTTTACTCTTCAATCCCCTTTCCCATACCTCTGCTTTACTCTATGCTAAGGTGCTATCAGCATCAATGAAACAGGTCTGGAGGTCTTGCGAAGAGCAGATCTTGGAAATAGCATGTTTTGTATTTACAACTTTCGTAATTCCCCAGTCAACATAACTGAGAATTTACATTTTTTGTCCTACAACTCTACAATGCTGGGAGCAGTAGTCCTCAAAAGGTACATTTCTAACTTCCAGCCTAAGGAAAATTCAGCGTAAACAAAGAACTCAAATATAGAGTAAACAGGGTACCCAAAGGCCAAGGAACATCATCCCACAGCACATATGCACTTACAGAAGTATGAGAGGAATAAATGAAAATGTTGATCTTATGGCAAGTTAAGCAAACCAAAACATCCTTTGCTTGGGGAGCCCAAATGCTGCGCAGCAGAGAGCATCATGGCTCACCTCTTGGGGAAGTTCCAGTTTGGAACGGTCTGTTCCTTCCTTGGACTGCAGGCCCATCAAGTAAGGTACAGGAGCATCAAGGAAATGCAGGAGAGAGGCGGGGAGGATAGGGACATATACGTGTTGCCACTGAAATGGGAAGAGCAGCGTGGTGATCCCCTCTGCGACCGTCATCAGGCGCTGGTAGTCTAAGAGCAGAAGACCAACATAGAATTACTTTTAAAAACCTCATTAGTTCTGAAACTCCCTGAATATTTCAGCATCAGACAGATGGCAAATGCAGAGCAATTCTTAAACCACCCAGGACACTTTTCATATAGCCACTCATCGGCTGGATTTCATGTGTAGAGCAAGTTCACTGCCTGTTTGAAATGAATTAAAATATTAACTCTAGGCCCACAGCGCTCAGAAAGCGATGAAATTTTAACCAGATGCATACATCCAGCTATGATACAAAATTTAAAAAGGGAATTTAAGATAAATAACAGAAATGCTCGGAGAACTGCAAAGCATAATTATGTGCATTGCTTTGTCAAATCGCCAGAGGAACAGCAATATGCAGATGGGATGAGAAGGCACGGGCAGAGAGGAAGAACTGCTGTCATATCCTTTTTTGCTCATAATTGCTCATTAAGCTGAATTTTCAGCTCATGAATTGGCAAGTTCCAGGTTCTGAGCCAGACTGCAAATCTCCTTTCAGACAAAATGGAAATTAGATACATCAGCCTTCGCAAACTAGTGCCCTCCAGATGTGCTGTCTGGTGCTTATTTTAACTTTGCTTTCAAAATTGTGTATTATAGCACGATGGCTCAAGAGGAAGGGACTTGTGGCCCAATGTGTCAGGATTTGAAGTTGGGAAAATGTGAAGTACACAGATATAAGATATCCCCCAAGACAGATTTTTAATGATTCCTTTGACATATTCACAGAAAAAAAACTGTCATTTTTTTCCTGGATTAGTTTATTTTTTATTACAGAATGGTTTGTGCAATAATTGAGCTACATATTTCATCCTTCTGTTGTTCACAATTATTGTAAAAATGCAAGTCCAGCTGCTCACCAAATAATAATAATAATAATAATAATAATAATAATAATAATAATAATATTTTTTGTTGTGTCAGGAGCATCCTGTTGTGAGAGAATTGGCTGTCTGCAAGGACGTTGCCCAGGGGACGCCCGGATGATTTTGATGTTTTATCATCCTTGTGGGAGGCTTCTCTCATGTCCCCGCATGAGGAGCTGGAGCTAATAGAGGGAGCTCATCCACCTCTCCCAGGATTCGAACCTGTGACCTGTCGGTCTTCAGTCCTGCTGGCACAGGGGTTTAACCCACTGCGCCACTGGGGGCTCCAATAATAATAATAATAATAATAATAATAATAATAATAATAGCAATCCCAGACGACAGCAGGATTGAAGAGAAACAATTGGAAAAGCTGACATGATATAAGGATTTAAAGATTGAATTGCAAAGACTCTTGCACAAGCCAGTAAAGGTGGTCCCAGTGGTGATCGGCACACTGGGTGCAGTGCTTAAAGACCTTGGCCTGCACTTAAACACAATTGGTTCAGACAAGATTACCATCTGTCAGCTGTAAAAGGCTACCTACTGGGATCTGCCCGCACTTGGGAAGTGTCCGGTGTGTGATCCAATACAACAGTCAGCAGAATGACCTTGTTCGCTGTGTACTAATCTTGTTGTGTTTCAAATAACAACAACAACAACTTAATTTTTATACCCCAACTCCATCTCCCTGAAGGGACTCGGGGCAGCTTACATGGGGCCAAGCCCAGCAATACCATTAAAACCTAACACATTAAAATGAATAACAACAAAATAATAACAAAAAAATATAAAACTAAATAAAAACGACATTAAGCAATATATAAAACAAACATCAGAAGCAACAACCAATAGCAAAATTCAGTGTCTTGTCGTGGGTGGGTGGACTGGTGCAAAAACAATAGAGGATAAAGCTAGTGAGTAAAGTGCATATATCATATAGCAGCAACAAGGATAAGAGCAATTAATCACTATAGTAAAGTGTGAGGACAAGGATGTAGTAGGTTTTTCGGGCTGTGAGGACAAGATTTTTTGACTCTTCAGACAGGCCTTTGATCCTGAGTAATCCATGGCCAATGTGGCGAATCATTGATAGTACTGGTTTGCACTTTGATTGATTGTTATGACAGATAGCCAGCCTGAAGGTTCCATAGCATTTTAGGAATTTTGTAATTTTCAATTTTAATTTTATCAATGAGATTTTAATGTGCTGTTGATTATATTTATGTCATTGTATTTATAATTATGTATTGTTGTCTGCATGTGGCACTTGGAGTGCTTCTGTGAGCCACCCCGAGTCCCTTTGGGGAAATTGTGGAGGGTCCAAATCAGGATTATTATTATGATTAAATATTCAGATATGCAAACTATTCAAAAAATATTTTGTTAATTGAAGACTTTTTTAAAAAAATTTTTTTTAGTAGAGCCTGAAAATAGTAACTAGGAGCTACACATTGCAAAGTGGTGATTCAGCAAAAACAGCCCAAACACCTCTGTATAATATACAACACACTACTTTAATCAAAACCAACAGCCTTCCCTTTCCCTGCAGTGAAGGCATGCTCATCGTAAAAATATAATTGTCCGCCTCCCAAGTACATTATCTATTTTTATACCATACATATCTCAGAGCTTTCAGCATAGGAAAAAACCAATTTGTGTTCATGCCGTAATTAAACAACCGCATGGCAAGGGAGGGAAGGTGGACACTGGCAATCCAGTTCCTCGCTTCCTGCTGGCACAAGGCAGCTTTCCCAACCATGATAACTGCAAGAGGAAGACATGCACTCCTAGCAAGGGTATAACCAAGAAGGAATTAGATTATCACATCCATTTGAGACACATGGGCATTAATAATGTAACTATGGTTTTAATTTTCTGCACTGACAATAGAGAGGACTGTAATTCATCCCTTCTCTCACGCGTAAGAGAGATCTGATTTCACTGTTCAGAAACAAATCTGGCTACACAGAGAGACCTGTTGCTCAAAAAAAAAAAAGAAAACAAAGGTTATGACATCAGGAGAGCAGGATTTCCAGTCACTTCAGGTATGTATTGGGCGCAGGATTCAGGGGTGGCAAATATGAACCAAGGCTTTGTTCACATGATTTAAACTCATACACCGGGACTGTGGCGCACCTGGCTGGGTGTCAGCTGCATTAAGATCACTACTGACCTAAAGGTCATGAGTTCAAAGCCAGCCCAGGTCGGAGTGAGCTTCCGGCCAATTTGTGTAGCTTGTTGTCAACCTTTGCAACCCGAAAGACAGTTGTATCTGTCAAGTAGGAAATTTAGGCACCACCTATGTGTGGGGAGGCTAATTTAACAAATTTACGAGGCCATAAAAAATCTCCAGCAAAAGCATGCAGTGAATGCGGAAAGTACTTCATCAGTGTCGCTCCCCTGGTGGCCAGAAAACTGGAATGTTAAATAGCCCCTGACTGTCTGTCTATATGTATTGTGTGTCTATGGCATTGAATGTTTGCTATGTATGTGTACATTGTAATCTGCCCTTAGTCCCCTGCGGGGTGAGAAGGGCAGAATATAAATACTGTAAGTAAGTAAATAAATAAATAAATACACTCCAACAGATGACTACAGCCATAGGCTCAAAAATGGAGAGAAGAATTAAACTTCCCCAATCCTGCTATGACTGAAGATAGAAATTAGTCAATTTGTTCCAGAAAGACGTCTTATTTCTCTCTAATAAGAGAGAACTACAAGAAAGGAGATTTCATCTGAACATGAGGAAGAACTTCCTGACTGTGAGAGCCGTTCAGCAGTGGAACTCTCTGCCCCAGAGTGTGGTGGAGGCTCCTTCTTTGGAAGCTTTTAAACAGAGGCTGGATGGCCATCTCTCAGGGGTGCATTGAATACAATATTCCTGCTTCTTGGCAGGGGGTTGGACTGGATGGCCCACGAGGTCTCTTTCAACTCTACGATTCTAATATCAGGAGATGGCAAGAACATCACTTTTCCTTGTCAAATCTCTGAAAATCCCAGAGACTGCTCTGTTCTTGCTCTATCTGCCTCTGTTCTCTAAAGAGCAGAGTTAATGAAATAGTGAGCCTCTGGGGTATTCAAATTTTGCAGATCTCAAAAATATTCCAGGGGCAGGGATCCAAAAGGCAAACCTTGATTTGGCATATTATATACAGGTTGCCATTTTACTATGCCATCTATATAAATAAAAATGTAATGTTTGTTTGTGGGATTAACATAACTCAAAAACCACTGGATGAATTGACACTAAATTTGGACAAAATACACCTATCAGGCCAGTGAGTGACCATCACTCATAAAAACACTGAAAACAGTGGAAGGGATTTAAAAAGCCAAAAAAGCAAAAAGATGCTACAGCACATGTGCAAAAATGACAACAAAAAACCCACACAATAGCATATCCACACTCTCTTCCGGACTACAGCTCCCAGCACCCCTCTAGGCCATGCCATTTAGGAGAGGAGGATTATCCAATTGCACTGCTTCCAAGCTGCAAGCTTTCTTCTCCTTGGATTTCTTTGAGAGCATCCCAATCCCTGCATATTTCCAATTTCCTATTCCTGGACTGCAACTCCAAGCAATTGTCCAGATAAATAGATTAGATAGAGATAGGTAGGTAGGTCGATTAGGAAGACTGCTGGGAGTTGCAATCCAAGAATAGGTAGAGAAGGAAGAAAGAGGGAAAGAGGAAGGGAAAGAAAAGAGAGGGGAGAAGGAAGGGAAGAGGAAGAGATGGAAGGAAGGAAGGAAGGAAAGAAGGAGAGAGAGAGAGAGAAAGAAAGAAAGAAAGAGGGAAGGAAGGAAGGTTGGCTACAGCAACAAGTGGGGGGTGCCGTTAGTTGTGTATAATGGAGCATGAGCACCCACTGATTTTGGTATCATGGGGGTCCTGGAACCAAACCCCAGTGACTACCGACGATCCACTGTATCTTGCTTTTGTAAGCTATTCTGAAAGGTCTTAAGACCTCTTTTAAAAATTAATAGAGCAAATATGGCCACAAATTGAAAAAGGCTTTAAATAGCTAGGCAAGGAAAACTCATATTCTTCTTCCAATTGCTTGCAGACATACATCCAGAACTTATTTCCTAGTTTCTGCAGAACTGGCAATTTTAATTCACTTCTCTCCAGAACCAATCTTGTGGCTGGAGCAGTTTCTTACTTATCCTCAGAAAGCTGTATTAATGTCAGAAAAGGGTTATTTTGAAACCCTTTAAATACACCCAAAGTCCACATCCAAAATTATAACAATCTCCCTGGAATATGGAAAGAGTATTTATTTAATTTAAAGTAAAAAACCTTCACAGAACAGCTGAGAAATTCAAATATAGAATGCAGTTTAGATTCTTAAGAAATTGCTTTTAAAAGCCAATCCAGAACATCCCCAGGAAGCTATTCAAAATGTATTTAAAATATTGGAGGGTAAAGTCTTCAGCTTAGTTATTGAAGAAGTTATTACACAAAATACAAATAAATCTTTTCCTTGCTATATTCTTGAGATCCACACCGTGTTAGTGATAAGAATGAATAACCAAAAGAGTACGCATTTAATTTCTATCCCACTTTTCTTTTAGGGATTCACTGTGCTTATATGTGGGCTATAATGGGCCCATAACCCTTGTTGGACGAGTGAGCTTATTAACAAAAGACCCTCCTCATGAATGTACAGCAGAGTGACTGCTGTAATTTCCTGAGGAAAGCTGTAATTTCCTGAGGAAAGTCAGGGAGGTACTGCTTCTGTAACTTGTTTTCCAAACTAAACTTGTAACGAACTTATAACAACAGTATCTGCCTGCTCTTCTCTCCCTCTCCCTCCTCAACAATGCACCCTTTTGGAAACAAAACACCTGTCTTCAGTTTGAATTAGCATAGAAAGAACAATAAAGGATACCATATTCATCACTAAGCCTTAGACCAGTGGTTCCCAACCTTATTTTTTTTTTTTGACCAGGGACTACTTGACTAGGGACCACTTTGACTAGGGACTGCTCTCCAACATTAGTACCAAAAGGATTACGAATCAGTTTTTGGTCAACTTTAGATTCGGTTTGATTATTTGTGGTGCTGATTCAGAAAATTATTTATTTCCAACATTTCTATCCCACCCGACTCAACCCTCGAGGGGGGGACTCAGAGCAACTTACACTGGCAACAATTTAATGCCACAACGTACAAACAATTATAACAATTTCAAACAGTAAATAAAACAGTAAGTTAAAATCAATTTAAAGCATTATTATTACATAATTAAAGACAATTGCATTGGGTAGACCACGTCAGCTTTAGTTTCTGATACAGAACATGTAACATCCAGTAGTTGTTATCTGCTCACCCACAGAAAACCATATTTAATAAGCCTCAGCACTATACGAGGATTTCACGAGGCCAGTGTGGAGAGGAGCAAACCACTGACCACCTGCTGCAATGCAACCTGAGCCCAGCCACATGCACAATGGAGGACCTTCTTGCAGCAACACCAGAAGCACTCCAAGTGGCCAGATACTGGTCAAAGGACATTTAATCAACTACCAAACTCACACATTTTGTATTCTGTCTGTTTGTTTGCTTTGTTCTGTTAGAAATGTAATATAATTGACTGGTTGCCCTGACACGACAAATAAATAAATAAAGTTCCTCTTGTTGCAACGATGTAGTAACGGTGAGGCCTGGGACCATATTTTAGTTCTTGCAGACCACTGGTGGTTCACAGACCACAGGTTGGGAACCACTTCCTTAGAGGCACCCACACTGTAGAATTAATCCAGTTTGACACCACTTTAATTACCATGGATCTAGGCCTTCTCTGGCAAAGGGTGCTGGTGCCTCACCAAAATACAACTCCTCAGATTCTATAACAGGGGTCCTCAAACTAAGGCCCGGGGGCCGGATGCAGCCCTACAAGGTCATTTACCCGGCCCTCGCTCAGGGTCAACCTAAGTCTGAAATGATTTGAAAGCACACAATGAAAACAACAATCCTATCTCATCAGCCAAAAGAAGGCCCACACTTCTTATTTATTTATTTATTTATTTGCAGCATTTATATTCCGCCCTTCTCACCCCGCAGGGGACTCAGGGCGGATTAGTGTACACATATATGGCAAACATTCAATGCCAATTTTAACATACAACATATACAGACATAGACAGAGGCTATTTAACTTTTTCTGGCCACCAGGGGAGCTGTCACTTTCATCGTCCATTTGCGACACTGATGAAGTACTTCCGCATTCCCTGCATGCTTTTTGCTGGAGTGCTTGCTGGAGTCTTTTTTATGGCCTCATAAATTAGTTAATTTAGCCTCCCCATACTTTAAGGTGGTACCTAATTTTCCTACTTGACAGATGCAACTGTCTTTCGGGTTGCAAAGGTCAACAACAGGCTACACAATTGGTTGGAAACCCACTCCACCCCGGGCTGGCTTCGAACTCATGACCTTTTGGTCAGAGTGGTCTTAATGCAGCTGACACTCAGCCAGCTGCGCCACAATCCCGGTGCCATTGAAATACTAATAAGTTTATATTTGCTAAACTTGTTTTTCATTTTAATTATTGTATTATTTAATTATTTAATTAGTGTTTTTGTACTACATATAAGAGATGCGCAGTGCACATAGGAATTAATTCATTTTTTCCAAATTATAATCTGGCCCTCCAACAGTTTGAAGGACTGTGACCTGGCCCTCTGTTTAAAAGGTTTGAGGACCCCTGTTCTATAACATTGAGATATGGCAACCGAAGTTGTAGTGCATTAACTTTACAGTGTAGATCCACACCATGTTAGTGATAAGAATGAATAACCAAAAGAGTACGCATTTAATTTATATCCCACTTTTCTTTTAGGGATTCACTGTGGTTATATGTGGGCTATAATTGGCTCATAACCCTTGTTGGGCGAGTGAGCTTATTAACAAAAGACCCTCCTCATGAATGTACAGCAGAGTGACTTATTAGCAGTAGCATGACCCAGCATCAGAGGTAAAACAGATCAATGTTGTATCTTCCATAGGAGGCTTTTCTTTACTTATGGTCCTATAATAACTCCAACACTTCTATTTGTAGATCCGTCCCCACTTTTTGCAGGACAGAGAACAATCAAGAATCTGACCAGCTTAGAAGTTGTCTGCTTACCTTGAGAATAAAGAAGGATCTGCATTTCTAGGAGGACACATGTAAACACCTGGATGAGGTTCTCCAAGCCCAGCAGTTCGAAGGTCTCCCGGAGAGCGTAGTCAAAGAGTGGGAGCTCATTGGGCCCAGGCCTCTGGCAAATGATGGGCTCGTACACCCCGTAGAATTTCAGCGACCTTCCTGGGGGCGGAAGGGGCACTTCGTAGAGGATGTTGTGGATGTAGCTCTCCAGGGGTAAAGGCGGGGGTTGCTGACATGTGACGGCCTTATAAAGCTGGATGAGGAATTTCTTGCAGGCTTGCATGAAAGGCAAGGGAGTAATGAGGCAAACACATTTGGAGACATAGAGCGTATCCCTGTTGATGTCATAGGAGTTGTAGCGTTGCATCTTGGCCAGCGACGTGGCATCCCCTTCGTCCAGACTGCTGGCCAGGGAGTCCATGCTACACGAAGACGAGGCGCAGACACTGTTGCATTGCTCAGCATTGTGCATTTGATACAGAGTCTGCATGGCTGTGCAAATTTGCTTGCTTGTGACCTCCTCGAAAAAGGTGAGCACAAACCCGTACGTGCGGGAGCCATCTTCCCGGGTAATAATGAATGAGTGGAACTGGGGGTCTCTATTATCAGTCTGAGTCCTGAAGGAAAGCCCTTTGGGCATACACAGCTGCAGAAAGAAGCAGGAAAAAAGCAATGCAAACACATCAGTGGGCATTCTCATTTCACTTAGGATGATCCACTAGAACACCTCTTGCAAATGACTGGGAATATAAGGTAAAAGGTAAATGTTTTCCTCTGACATTAAGTCTAGTTGTGTTCAGCTCTGGGGGGTGGTGCTCATCTCCATTTCTAAGCCAAAGAGCTGGCGTTGTCCATAGACACCTCTAAGATCATGTGGCCAGCATGACTGCATGGAGTGCCGTTACCTTCCTGCTGAAGCGGTACCTATTCATCTACTCACATTTGCATGCTTTCAAACTCCTAGGTTGGCAGAAGCTGGGGCTAACAGCGGGAGCTCACCCCGTTCCCTGGATTTGAACTGGCAATCTTTCGGTCAGCAAGTTCAGCAGCTCAGTGGTTTAACCCACTATGCCATCAGGGGAATACAAAGCAAGTGCACAATATCCCATATGGTTTTAAAGAATTTTGATAAAGCATTCCCTAGGCAGACTGTGCTTACTGTGATTATTAAAAATAAACAAGAAAGGAGGTGGGGAAAAGCATCTTATTAAGCCATTTAATTAAAATCCGTGCTCTTAAAAATTGAATCCCCCAGCCTCAAGCAGAAAAAGGCATTGCCTCAATTTTATATTTTTACCAGGCCAACGGAATGACTCTGTGCAATTATACTGTTTACCACTCTTCATAAATTCATGTATAACATCATGCATTAGCTGTGACTATCTCAATAAATACGATAACAAAAAAGCTATTTCCTTAGGAAGTAAAATAGATCAGACATTTTAAAAAGAAAGCAGAGTGTACTAATAAGGAGCTATTCTTCAGCAATTTAAATATTGGTGCCACATGCCTTTATAATCCGTAAAGCCCTCCCTATGTTCCAGATATCACTAAGCAGCAGCAACAATATCCACATTACATATTAAATCCATTAGAAGAAGAGCAACTATTTCAGGCAATTACCCCTGAACAACCCCCACTGGTCTATATACAGAAAAAGACATATCCTGGGATGCCGGTGAGATATTTTATGCATGTTCTCTATAAATATTTCTAGGTATTGATTAAAAAAGAAGAAAGGGTTATGAAAATTATGCACAAGACAGATCTGTACTCACTGCACAGTATACAGATAACACTGAAATTCCCTATGCGGAGATTTTTGTAAATCATTTATGGTTTTTAAAATCTTTATTTTATTTATTTATTTGCTGTATTTGTATACCGCCCTTCTCAGTCTTCAGGTGACTCAGGGAGGTTTACAATGGCAACGATTCAATGCCCAAAAACACCATAAAACATTTAAAACCATAACAAGAATATTAAAACACAGATTATTTGCGTCTCTTAATAAAAATCCATCTCGTCCTCCAGTCGTTCCAATTCCTATGTCTTTTATTTTGCATTTTCAAACGCTTGCTCAAACAAACAAGTCTTGACTCTTCCGAAATGTTAAGAGGGAGGGGTACGATCTAATGTCCCCAGGAAGGGTGTTCCATAGCTGAGGGGCCACCACTGAGAAGGCCCTGTCTCTCGTCCCCACCAAACAAGTTTGTGACCCAGGCGGGGTCAAGAGCAGGGCCTTCCCGGACAATCTTAAAGTCCTAGCAGGTTCGGCCAAGGTGCGTCTTGTCTCAGTTCCACTGAACTTAAATATTAACAGTAATCAGGTGTGCTAGGTGTTTTTATTTCTGATGCTGTTTTAAAACAGAACTTAAATCACCATGCCTAAAATACCTCCCTGCTTTAATGCAGTTCTTATTTATCTACTAACATTTGTTTTCAAACTGTTGGGTTGGCAGAAGCTGGGCTAAAGGTAAGGAGCTCGCCCTGACTCGGGCCCTGAACTGACAATCTTCCAGTTGGCAAGATTTATTGCAGCTTGGTGATTAACCTGCTTTGATAAACCCTGGCCCATTTATGAATGATGATGTGTCAATGTAATGTGTTGTTTTAATTTTATATTATTTTGTGTTGCCTTTTTGTTGATTTAAGTTAATTTTGTATTGTCGAAGGCTTTCATGGACGGAATCACTGGGTTGTTGTAGGTTTTTTCGGGCTATATGGCCATGTTCTAGAGGCATTCTCTCCTGACGTTTCGCCTGCATCTATGGCAAGCATCCTCAGAGGTAGTGAGGTCTGTTGGAACTAGGAAAATGGGTTTATATATCTGTGGGATGACCAGGGTGGGACAAAGGACTCTTGTCTGCTGGAGCTAGGTGTGAATGTTTCAACTGACCACCTTAATTAGAATTTGATGGCTTGGCAGTGCCTGGGAAGTGCCTATAGCTGACTTAATATTTAAAAAAAATTATAACAGACAGTAAACAATCAGGCACATCTAATCACCTCTCAACAAAAGATTCCCCCAGGCACTGCCAAGCCATCAAATGCTAATTAAGGTGGTCAGTTGAAACATTCACACCTAGCTCCAGCAGACAAGAGTCCTTTGCCCCACCCTGGTCATTCCACAGATATATAAACCCATTTTCCTACTTCCAACAGACCTCACTACCTCTGAGGATGCTTGCCATAGATGCAGGCGAAACGTCAGGAGAGAATGCCTAGAACATGGCCATATAGCCCGAAAAACCTACAACAACCTAAGTTAATTTTGTTGTTTTTCTTAATTATTATTTATGGTTTGCACTGTTTTTGTGTTGTAAGCCGCTCCAAGTCCCCTTGGGGAGATGGAGCAGGATACAAATAAATAATAGTAATAATAATAATAATAAGCGGGCCTTCTCGGTGGTGGCCCCCCGGCTGTGGAACGCCCTCCCTGCTGAAGTTAGACAGGCGCCCTCCCTGATGGCCTTCCGTAGGAGCCTGAAAACATGGCTCTTCGAGCAGGCCTTCAATTGAGTGCAACATTGGAACGATATCGGAATGGATTTGACTACGATATTGACTGTGACCCCTGGATTTGACGAAGCGGATTTTTAGTATATGTTATGTAGTAGTAGTTTGGTATGTATTGTCATGATTTACTGTATACTGTCTTTTCTATGTTGTTGTTCACCGCCACGAGTCGCCCTAGGGCTGAGAGTGGCGGTCAATAAGTGCAAATAATAAATAAATAAATAAAATAAATAATAATAATAATAATGGTAAAAATGGGTAGGAAAAACAGAGCCTTTGGTATTGGTTTGCAGCTGTATATCTGCATTAAACAAAGCAATAAAGAACCAAACCCAAGCAGAAGCCAAGGGCCCACTCTGTGTGTGTGTGTGTGTGTGTGTACATATTCACACACATATATGGAAAGAGGATTAGGAATAGAAACCTTGAAAGCAAAGTCTTAGGAGGCCAGCAGATGGATGCTTAGGAAATAACTGCTAACGGAAAGGGTAATCAAGAAGAAGGCTTGGTACAAATTAATGACTAAGACTAAGGCTGAAAAAAGGCACAAATTAAACAATGATTTTATAAATAAAACAGACCAACCTTGCACTGCAAGCATCTAAACACAAATGACAGATTTAGGCTGTTTTCTTTCACTTACAAACACATCAGATCAAACAAAGAGCCGACTTTTGTTTTACATAGTCATAACTATCACCATTAGAAACAGCTATGATTCATCAACCATAGTCAACAAATAATATCTGGAGGAAAAGTGTTTTCAAAAAATTTGCAAAGAAATATTACGTAAGCTTTTGAAATTTAACAGAAAACTGTATAACTAAAAATAATACTACCCCATCACACTAGAGAATGGGTCCACTTTAAATTCGGTTGCTGCCTCCTGCAGAATTCTGGGGTTTGTAGTTTTGGGAGGAGCCTTGAAAAGCCTCACTAAACTACAAATTCCAGAATTTTTCAAGAGGCAGATTTAAAGTGAATTCATTCTCTAGTGTGATGAAGTAGTATATGAGAAGTTATGCTACATGTGGAGAGAGGAGGAGACAAAAAAAAGGAATAATCTCATTTTTACATACCATATTGACTGCATCTTGATCAAAGGGATTCCATTCAATGTTCTGGGGATAATGGGCCAAGACTTTTGACTTGAAAGTTCTTCTTAAGGGGCTCTGGTCAAAGTTTTCTCCTGCAAGACAAGAAAAAGCAAGAAAGTGAGAAATGACTGAAGGGAAGGCTAGAAGAAAGGGTGTTTGCATTTATACTTAGCCAGCTTCTTTCTGAAGACAAGGAAAGAACTACTAAGTGAACACACAAAAGCAACCTTAACCAAGGGGTGCAATTACAGGAAAGGTAATGAACGCACTGTCCGCACTCAAATAGCCCCCCATCAAAATAAACTTTTCCTTCAGTTCCCAAATTCCTACAATTGTAGTAACATAAATGTTCAGAAGAGGATTTAATATACAGAAAGAAAATGGTCAGCAATACTGCTAAGGGAGTAAGAATACCACAAATGTAAGAGTGCTATGTGAGAACTAGTTTCAACGTCTGGCTCTCTGAAATTATTGGCTCTCCTGTCCTCCTACCTTCCTGCCCCAGCTGCACCTCTGATGCAACTCAATCCAATCCTTTACTAAATTTTAAAATTTGTGGCATTTTTGGCCACTAAAAACTATAGTAGAGTCTCACTTAGCCAACATAAACAGGCCGGTAGAATGTTGGATAAGTGAAAATGTTGGATAATAAGGAGGGTCCAAGGAAAAGCCTATTAAAACATCAAAAAAATTACAAATTAAGCACCAAAACATCACACTTTGCAACAAATCAACAGAAAAAGCAGTTCAATACACAGTAATGTTATGTAGTAATTACTGTATTTACGAATTTAGCACCAAAACAGATAAGGGTTTTTTCTTTCTCCCATCCTGGATACTATTCCGGGTGGGAGGCAGACTGCGTTGGATAATACAAAACGTCGGACGAGCGAAGGTTGGATAAGTGAGACTTTACTGTATATTGATAGGACTGATGGGTCTCTTCTACAAGCGGTGATCCAACATCATGAGTTATGCTCATGAAGAGCCTCCGGTGGCGCAGTGGGTTAAACCCCTGTGCCGGCAGGACTGGAGACCGACAGGTCACAGGTTCGAATCCTGGGAGAGATGGATGAGCTCCCTCTATCAGCTCCAGCTCCTCATGCGGGGACATGAGAGAAGCCTCCCACAAGAATGATAAAAACATCAAATCATCCAGGTGTCCCCTGGGCAACATCCTTGCAGATGGACAATTCTCTCACACCAGAAGCGACTTGCAGTTTCTCAAGTCGCTCCTGACACGACAAAAAAAAAAGTTCGAGTTCAAAGTTTCAAGAGCCCACAGCTAAGGCACACACAGGGAATGACATAGAGCATCTCATCTAATCCCAAGTTTAGAGGCAAAAAGATCAAATGGAAGAGGATGGCATATTGAATGGTACGAGGCCAATGATGGCGACATAAATAAGTGGTTCTGGAGATGTTCCTGCCATCACATCTGTGTATTCAAGAAAGAGGCTGGAGGAAAACTCCAGCTGACAGCCCATTATAGTCTCAGAGTTTGGAATAGTTATTTTTGGAGACTTCTCTTCCCCAAATCCGCCAGCTACTGGAAATAACTTTCCCAAGCTTTGATCAACGCATGTCTAAAAGGATTTGCCTGGATTCATTCAGGGGATACTCATTTCCTTGAGCAGAGATAGGAATCGCATGGCCTTCAAGATACTGAAGTGCAGACTCCCAGAATTCTTCACCATGAGCTAAGCTAGCAAGAAATACAGGGAGCACTAGTTCAATAATATCTGGAGGGCTGCACAGTTCCCAGCTCAAGCCTAGATAATATTCTGAACCCCTACAAGAACTGAAATAAATCTAAGGTTAAATGTGTCTTTGCATTTGTCAGGCAGGGCAAAATACAAATGTGAAAATAAGGCTCACTGTAAGCAGAGAAATGGGAAAAATGAATAAGTCACCCTTTTATTGCAGATGATGGGACAATCCCTCTTTTGAAGCTGATAATTGCCCTGGTGCTAAGAAGGGATCTCTTCCCAAACCAAATAGAATATTAAACGTGGCTTTTCCTCAAGAGGGAGAAAAAGATGCAGTCTTCATTTCATGCTAGCGAGGATAGCAATAATTAACTCATTCCAGCAAAAGCAATTTGCATTTATTTGTTTCCAGAACTATGTGTTAAATGTTGCAGCATCACATTCAGGTTGGCCTGTTTTGTTGGGCATGTCCCCTCCAAAAATGCCAAGGTCTATTTTCCCCAAACTCCGCAAGTGTTCACATTTGGGCATACAGTGTTCCCTCGCTACTTCGTGGTTTGCTTTTTCGCGGGGTTTTGCCTCTTGGCAATGATGGAGTGTGGAAGGGGGTTTCACCCTCCCCCTTGGGAGAGAGGCAGCCAATCAGAAAGAGAGAGAGAGGAGATACAAAGCAGTATGCAAATCATGGCCTTATAGCTTCTTCCTTATTGTTGTTGTTCATTCGTTCAGTCGTCTCCGACTCTTTGTGACCTCATGGACCAGCCCATGCCAGAGCTCCCTGTCGGCCGTCACCACCCCAGCTCCTTCAAGGTCAGTCCAGTCACTTCAAGGATGCCATCCATCCATCTTGCCCTTGGTCGGCCCCTCTTCCTTTTACCTTCCACTTTCCCCAGCATAATTGTCTTCTCTAGGCTTTGCTGTCTCCTCATGATGTGGCCAAAGTACTTCAATTTTGTCTCTAGTATCCTTCCCTCCAGTGAGCAGTCGGGCTTTATTTCCTGGAGGATGGACTGGTTGGATCTTCTCGCAGTCCAAGGCACTCTCAGAACTTTCCTCCAACACCACAGTTCAAAAGCATCTATCTTCCTTCGCTCAGCCTTCCCTAAGGTCCAGCTCTCACATCCGTAGGTTACTACAGGGAATACCATGGCTTTGACTATGCGGATCTTTGTTGCCAGTCTGATGTCTCTACTCTTTACTATTTTATCGAGACTGGACATTGCTCTCCTCCCAAGAAGTAAGCGTCTTCTGATTTCCTGGCCACAGTCTGCATCTGCAGTAAGCTTTGCACCTAGAAATACAAAGTCTGTCACGGCCTCCACATTTTCTCCCTCTATTTTCTATTTCTATTTCTATTTTCTCCCACATTTTATCCCTCCTTCCTTATAGCTAGCAAAAAAAAAAGTGTGCGGTGCCTTTAAATCTCTCCTCGCTTCTGCCTCACTCTTGTAATGCTATAAATATATATATAGTCCCTACTTTGCGGATTTTTCACTTTTTGAGGATGGTCCTGGAACATAACACCTGTGATAAGTGAGGGAAACTGTATTGAGTATTCATGCATACACTGTATTGAGTATTTGGTCCAGTGAATGAAAATACATGATGCATATTTACATTAAGATTCATTAATAGTAGCAAAATTACAGTTTTGAAGTATAATAATTTTATGGTTGGGGGTCACCACAACATAATGAACTGTATTAAGGGGTTGCAGCATTAGGAAGGTTGAGAACCACTGCCCTAGAGAATGGCCTGGGGGCTATTTCTGAACTCCTCATCCACTTGAGAAAGGTACAGTTATAGTAAAGGTAAAGGTTTTCCCCTGACATGAAGTCCAGTTGTGTAAGACTCCGGGGTGTCCATTTCTAAGCAGAAGAGCCAGGTTTGTCCGTAGACACCTCCAAGGTCATATGGCCAGCATGACTGCATGGAGCGCCGTTACCTTCCCGCCGGAGCGGTACCTATTGATCTACTCACATTTGCATGTTTTCGAACTGCTAGGTTGGCAGAAGCCTTACAATTATACAGATTAGCAATTTCAAACGACTCAGAAGCAAACCAATGTTTTGCCCAGTAGTGTATTTCTCACAGACAAGGCTGCAGCTTCATGTTAGGTGCAGTAGTACAATTAACAGATTTGCAAACACGTATTTATCTAATTTTGTTTAAAGTTACCTATTCATTTTCTGATGTTCATATAAAGAGTTTTGTGCCCTATATGCAATTTAGCATTTGAATGCACAGCTATTTTCAGCTTTTTCCCTCCGACAAGATTGGCAACCCACCATGTTTAAATTCACACTTCCTTTATCTACTTGGGTTGGGTTTTCTATTCAATCCCATCTGCCCAAGCTTTCCTCACTGTGTGATACAGTGTATAATGAAACCTAAATAAGAACAGCAGCTGCGAGAAGGAAGACTAAATATAAAACCTCACAAAGCGATATATTCTATGTAGACTGCAAACCAAAAGACTAAACTCTCTGCAACGAATGGTGCAGATGATCCCAGGCTGCATGTTGCCCTGCTGTTTTGGGATTTCACAAAGCCAGCATCAAATTTCAGCAATGCAGTCATTTTGTATGAATTCATTTTCACACTAGACCCAGATAGTGAGGAACTAGAGGTATCTTTTCTACTGGAAGTTGCTAATACATTATTAAATGTTTACAATGCAGAATCGAGTTATGCACAAAAGAGACAAGCTTGCCTGTTCTTATGGGTTACACTGTCTTAGTAAAAGCATGTTGTTGTTGTTTTTCTGCCCAGCAGCATATCTTTCTGGAATCCCAAAATGCAAAATTAGTCCACTTATGCTCAACATGGTTTGCTGCCAAATAAATACTGCAGTCTTGGCAGGTCATTTCCCATAATATTTGTATCCAGCCCTGGCTCTATGTATAAAGAAGAGTATCCAATTTTCACCAAGCCCATCTATACACAGTAGTCCCTAACGCTTTTTTTTGGTCGTGTCAGGAGCGACTTGAGAAACTGCAAGTCGCTTCTGGTGTGAGAGAATTGGCCGTCTGCAAGGACGTTGCCCAAGGGACGCCTGGATGATTTTGATGTTTTTATCATCCTTGTGGGAGGCTTCTCTCATGTCCCTTATGAGGAGCTGGAGCTGATAAAGGGAGCTCATCCACCTCTCCCAGGATTCGAACCTGCAACCTGTCGGTCTTCTATCCTACCGGCACAGGGGTTTAACCCACTGCGCAACCAGGGGCTCCTGTCCCTAACGCTACTATGGGATATTACTTGTGATGCACTCAGGTTGTGGAATTCGGGGATGGGGGAATGTGACTTCTTGGCCGATGAACCTCTATAGACGATTGCACTACTCCTCTGAAGTCCAATGGAGAAACACAGAAATGGGTACATAT